TCCTGTAAGGTCACTATGAGTTGGAATCAACTCAGGGGCAGTGAACTTGTTTTTTGTTTGTTTGTTTGGTATTTATTAGTCCTTACCCTCAGTAATTGATATATGATCATTTAGCTACCTCTGCAAATCAGCACTTAACCATCAGTCTACTTCACTGACTCCCTTTATTCCATACAGCATTAACTCTTTGTGTTGCTGTTTTGTTCTTTTCAACTTCCCAAGAGCTCTGGATGCTCTTTAATCTCTACTACCATTATATCCTCAGTATCTCGTGGTATTTGACGGACTTGAGCACATTTTTCCTCAAAGAAATGTAGCAGCATATTCAATAAAGCTTTTGGGGTTAAAGAAACTCTTTACCAGTTTAGTCATATTACACGAAATCAAAATACCCGAGAAGACACTTTAAAATAATTTTGTTGGTATTTTTTAAAACATACACAGCAATGACTTTTTTGTTTGTTTGTAAAATTGTGTACAGTTCTGTGAAACTTAAGGTGAGTTTCTCCTGATTTGTTTAATCTTTGGTGATCTGTATTTCTCTAGATAGCATACTTTTTGCTTTATGATTAGAAACAACTAAAGGTGGGAAATTAGTACTTAGTGTAAGTGTGTTCCAATTTTTTGTGAGTTTATATGAGGATTTTCCACAATGTCTGCTGCTTTGAAAATTTGGTTTTGTGCCTTTGTATTTCCTAAATTTGGTTTTGTTGAGAATACACAGCAAATTATAGTACAACAATTTCAAAAGTTCAGTGACATTAATTTTGAGTTGTATAATTTTCCCCTTTTTTCCTGAGCTATTCCCTCATTTCACATGAATTCTCTTCTTTAAGGTTCCCGTCTTGATTTTTCAAGTTGCTGAGTCAGTTTCATCCCAGACAGTTCTTAAAGAGCATAATGCTCACGGCAGACTTTTTAAAGCTATATAAGTGAAACTATTGTTCAGTTTCCAGATGACTTCAAGAAATGCTTTTCATTTAAAGATGATGAGAGTTTGATCCACTTTGTGGCTTCAGAAAATCTGGAGCCCATGATGATTTAAAAATTCATTCGACCAGGATTCTTTTGTGTTATCTTTAATCAGAATGAAGACCCCAGAAACTACACAGCAAACTAGAAAGTAGAAAATAAGCACCAAACTAAGGTGACCAGATTTTAACATTGGTAAAGCGGGACACCATTGATAAAACTCACATCCTGGCGAAATAGCCACATGGCAGCCAAAAACCGTAGACCTTAGCTTGTCTTGTATTCTTTCCAAAAATCAGCACTTTTTTAAAACGCCGCGAGACACGGAAAAATTATTAAAAATTGGGACGCCTGGTCACCTTATACTAAGCAGGTTATTAGGCTATATAATGGGAATGACCCATGAAACCACAATGCTGAATCTCCAAACCAAGGAACCAAATCATTTGGGATGTTTGATAGTTGTTTGATAGTGTGCTTAAATAGCTTCTGTAGCTACTCTTTCCCCCCCCC